TGGACGCTTGTGTCGTAGCTGGGAACACCTTCTTTTCCTTTCCTTTCTTCTTTTTCTCTCTTCTCTTCTCTCCCTACCCCTTCCTCCTGTCGGGACCTTAGAGTGGGACGCTACTAGGGGCTCCTGGCCTTACTACTAGGTGCAAGGACGCTACTAGGTAAGAGCGCCTCCCCGTGTGTGTGTGTGTGCCCCTTGTAGTCACTGGGATTCTTTTTGAACTGTTTTGAGCAGGGGGCACAGGAGGCCCATGGATACGGTGAGGATATGCAGCCTGATCAGCTGCGCGTACCTGCTGTTTGAGCTTTTGAACAAGCTTTGACTCCAATTTCCAGTAAAGTGCTAATGAGCTTGGCAGACATGAGCGTACGACGTCATCTCGACCTGCTCGTCGCTTTCGGTCTTGAGCTTTTGGCCCTTTCTCCTCTTGAAGACCTCCAGGCTTCAGGGTTCTCCTGGACTTTTCAGGATTTGGTTTCTTAGGCTGGCGTGTGGCCCCGCTGTCAAGTCAGTACACAAAATCATAAGTGTGTGTCACACTCTGTTCCTAAGAGTTTTCCACAAGCCGGGGACCAGGCAGGATGCATCGTCGCCTGGTCAACGAAGCTGGCGATGCATCCGAGGATATGGAAATGGGACGCCATTTCCACAAAGCTAAAAACTGTTGTTTACGCTGTGACTCCACTTTTCCTTTTTTGTTTCCATGGTGGTTCTTCGCATGATGTCCCCCAAAACAGGTTTCCTTAGCTTTGGTAAAGTGCTAGTGAGTTTGTTAAACAGTTCTGTTCTTCGGACCCTTTCGCCTTACCGTTCTTGCAGTAAAGTGCTAATGCAGTAACTAGCTTCCGCAGTCACGCAACACCTTTGTTAAACATCTTCAAGTTTTCGGACTCACTCGCCTTTCGGTTCCTTCACCCTTTTCGACCTGGGAATAGAGTTAACTGCAAACCCATTGTCGAAGTGTGTGCCGCTGTGCCGTCCCACTTGGGTGCACAGTGTGATCCTCCGCAAGGAGGCGCCGTTCTCACTCCGGACTACCGTGTAACTGACTCAACGGTTTTCTGCGTGCGTTGGATTATCTTAACCGACTTTCGTTTCACTACTGTATTCTCCAAATCAATGCCGCCGGGCTTCACGGAAATTCCAAGCTGCCGGGCATCGGAGAATAAACCACGACGTGTTCTCTACCCCAAACACCCCAACCCCCCTCCCTCTAATTAGGGTAACAGAGGGAAATGGTACTCGACACACTTGTGTGTCGGTGCCTTTCCCTCTGTTGTCCCTTTTCTAGTCTACTCTACCCGGGCGGTGTAAGACAAAAGTCCCGCTCCCTAACTAGTGCACCTAATTCACTTCGTCTAAGTACTCAGTAATTCTAGAGTGCTAGGTATTCATATATACACACACACACGGATACACACATGTACATACACCTCCCCCCACCCCCACTTTCCTTCTTGCGCTTTTTGTCGTTTCTTGGGCTTTCTCTCAGGCTTTTTAGGTTGTTCTTCAGGCTCGTTTCCCTACCCCAGTCAAGGGCTAAGTATTCACTTTTTGCTACTCCTATCTTTCTCTCTTGCCCTTTTAGCGCTGCTCTTTCTGTTTTTCTTTCTCTTGTTTCTAAAACTTTTCAAGTGCCTATTTAGGTCCTCCGCGTGAGCGCCGCAAAGCGGCCGAGTGTGTGTGTCACACTCTGTTCCTAAGAGTTTTCCACAAGCAGGGGACCAGGCAGGATGCATCGTCGCCTGGTCAACGAAGCTGGCGATGCATCCGAGGATATGGAAATGGGACGCCATCTCCACAAGCTAAAAACTGTTGTTTACGCTGTGACTCCACTTTTCCTTTTTTGTTTCCATGGTGGTTCTTCGCATGATATCCCCCAAAACAGGTTTCCTTAGCTTTGGTAAAGTGCTAGTGAATTTGTTAAACAGTTCTGTTCTTCGGGCCCTTTCGCCTTACCGTTCTTGCAGTAAAGTGCTAATGCAGTAACTAGCTTCCGCAGTCACGCAACACCTTTGTTAAACATCTTCAAGTTTTCGGACTCACTCGCCTTTCCGTTCCTTCACCCTTTTCGACCTGGGAATAGAGTTAACTGCAAACCCATTGTCAAAGTGTGTGTCTGAAGGTTTGTGATATAGAATTTCTGTGGAAGGCTAGATCTGGTTTTTGAGCATGATAAATTTGCTGACTTCGAACGGCTTGAACCAATGAACCGTGCCGCGATCGGAGCCATGCCGCCTCTGCGGGGTCGAACCAACCCCCCTCTCTGCCTCGAACAGCGCTTAAAGACCTGCAGCCACTGAGCTGCTGAAACCATGAAAGAACATACATAGGCGGAACCTTCATTGAAATGCTGAAAATGGGCCATCTCCTCGATCAAAACGGCAGACCCGTCCATTTCAGCGAAATCTTGGTATCTCGGGGCTGCGGTTGTTCTCCAGGCTTTGGAAGAGGTCGATGCCGACCAGGATGGAGAGATCAACTATGCAGAGTTCGTAAAGCTGATGAAGTCATAGTCATAGGGCCGCAGGGGATTTGACTTCGGAATTTTATCAAGTGGCAAGCGATTGCCATAGTTTCGACATGTTTCGACACTTCAAGAGCTTGGATTCAGGAGCTGAAACTTGCAAGCTAGCTTGGTTTCGGCTCAACTGATGACAGTGGGACCAGCTCGGTTTTGAGTCGATGGACTCGAAGTTTGTGATCACCCGTGGAGAAAGGTGCCACCGTGCTGTGAGTTTCAGATGCCCGAGACACAATTTGTAGCTGTTAAAAGCAATCAGAAATTGATGTCCACGTGGGTTAGTAGATTCGGTTAGTAGATTCTCATCTGGCAGTGAGGCGGGTCCTCCGTTTCGCTTTCAGGGGTCCTCAGTTTCACTTGAAACACAACATTGATTCGTTGATCACCACATTCCCGATCTCGCTCAGCAGGCATTCCTTACTTTAATACCACTACATATACTATTTATGAGGCTTACGCCTGACAGCCCGGCGCCGGCCTATTTGGGTTTGGGTATGTGCAGGGCTGGGTCCTCTCTCTCTCTCTGTCTTTCTCTTTCTCTTTCTCTTTCTCTCTCTCTCTCTTTGAGACTTGGTGGGGCCTATATTGAGCAAAGTTAAGCTATCTGGCGCGCATCTTGGTCCTAGGTTGGGCCAAGTTGAGCTGATGTGGTCTATGTTGGGCGCATCTTGGGCCCAAGTTGAGCCTATGTTGGGATTAGGTCGGCCTATGTTAGGCCTATGTTGGCCAAGGTTGGGCCTATGTTGGCGTATGTTGGCCCCATGTTGGCCTATGTTGGCCCTATGTTGAGCCATCTTGGAGGCTATGTTGGGCATATGTTGGCTATCTTGGGCCTATGTTGGGGATATGTTAGGCAACTTATGTGCCCAACACCCACGAAATGTCGATTAAGCTTGTCCGCGCGGCGCGCATAACCGACACCACCGGCGCCCTGTTAGGCGGAAGTCGTGGACGCCGAAAGCCACGAAACACTGTAAAGCACGATGTTTTCGAACATTTATTGAACATCCTGCGCAAGATACATATACATCTGTCGACCGGATTCGGGCGGGGGTCGACCGGGGGTCGGGCGGGGGTATCCCCGCGGTCCAACAAAAGGGTCGGCGGCAGGGGCGGCGAGCGTATATAACCTTCGGTTACCAACCGAAGGCCTCCGGCAAGGACACGGGCCCGTGGCCGGCGCCCGGATTTACCAGGCTACCGCCTGCAGCCGCCGACCCCCAAGGGATAGAACCTTAGCGCTAGCCTTGCTCACTGTTGATGTTAGCCTAGCCTTAGCGTTAGACTTAGCCTTAGCCTTAGACCGCCCCCGGGTAGGAGTTCCCCATTTTTTCCATGGTTGTAGAATTATCTAGCATGTCCGCTTGCATGTAGGTTCCCTGATTTGCTCAAAAATTGATGAACTTATTTTTAACCCCGGCCAATGCCCTGGAATTTTCCCAGGAATGCGCTAGGCTTTGTCTAGATTTTGTGCTGGACGAGGTCCAGCCAGTGCCCGCGGTAACGCGAAAGGCCCTGGTAAGATTTTCGCATGCCTGTCAGGCGCCCGTGTCTGCGCCATGTGGCGTGTTGGTTCTAGGACGGAGCAGCGCAAACGGAAGCTCGGGGAGGTGATGGCGAGCTTCTCGCGCCAGCCAGGGAAGAGACCGTAGCCATGTACACGCGGGCGGCACGCGCGCGTGGCCGAATGTCTGCAGTGCGGTAGGCCGGGGGGGGGAGGGGGGGACGGAAGGGTGTGGAAGGGTAGGGTTTCCTGGAGCACCCCTTGAGCCAAATGCAGGAGTCGAGAAGAGCCCCCGTCACCCAAGTTGTCGGGTGAGAGGCGGCCGGTGTTTGTGTTGTGCGTTACCTGCGGGAGAAGGGCGCTGCCCATGGTGTCTGCTAGGTCGCGTCAGCCAGCGAGGGCGTTGCCCATGCCCTTATGCAGGCCACGGAAAACTGCTCGGTGTAGTTGTCGTGAGCGGAAAACGCCGGCGCGCAGTGTTTTGGGAGGCTGGCGGAAGCGGACGGCTGCTGGAGCTGGACGAGGCGCGCAAGGGATGTGTAGTGGAGTGTGGAGTGAAGCTAGGGAATGCGAGCGCCGGGGTGCGAGGAGCGGGTTTAGCGCGGGCGGAGCGTGAGTTGGGCGTTGCCGGCAGCACTTTTGGCTGGAGAAGTGTGGTTGTGATGGTTGCGCCGAGGAGACGATGCTGTACTGTGTCCAGATCTGCTACAATTCAGCCGCGAGAGTGGCCTCCATGAAATATACATCAGCTCGGGCGATGGGATATATGAGCCGCCAGCAGCGGCAAGTGGGGCTCACGACGCGCTGGAGCAGGACGCTGGCAGTGGAGCGGGATCGTGGCCTGGAATGTGGAGGAGGTGGCAGTGTCTAGGGCGCTGCCCATGGCCGCTGCAGGAGTGGGCTAGGGGCAGAGGACGCAGACCTGCCCCCAGGCGGAGGCATTCGCTGCTGTCGGAATCCTGGGGGCGCTTTGTCGTCCAGGAGCTGCGGGGCCAGGCGGGTGCTTCCCATGGAGCAGCACACTAGAGGAGCTGGAATGATAGATGCTCTGTCGAGGGCCGTGTCTATAGGGTATGGTCCACCGCAGCAGGGTTGAGCCAGACAAAAAAAGGAAGCTGGGCGGCAGGAGCCGCGGCGCAGGGCCGTGCCCATGGTATAGGGTACAATTCAGGTGCTGTTCTAAGAATTTTCTAGCATTTCCTCTTGTTTTTAGGTTCCCAGATTTCCTCCAAAAATTGTTAACCTTTTGCCAACCTATTTTGTGCCAGTGTTCCCGGCCAATGCCCGTCATTTTTCCTAGGAATGCTCTTGGTGACCACCAGGGGTAGGTTTTGTGACAAAGCTACGCTGCCGCACTGCCCGACGTACGCCATCCGTGCATAGCTGCTCCTGGAAGCCCCCCGGACCACGTCGTCTCGCGCGACGCAGTCGCCAAAGAAAACGCCTGCGAGAAAAAAGACCACGGAAGGGAGCTGCTGGGCTAGCTGTGCGTGGGTGGACCGCGGGTTTTTTGTCCCAGCTTGACCATCGGACGTCATCTTCTCTTGCATGAACCCCGTGATGCGGAGTCCTCCTCCCCATAAAGGATATCATTGCCCAAGAATTTAGACCCAACCCTTCACCACCAAAGCAGGTACCCAAAAAGTCGACTTTTTGGGTACCTCCTAGGTTTACCATCGGACGTCATCTCTTGCATGAACCCCGTAATGTCCCCATAAATGACCCAACCCAGCACCACCAAAGCAGGTACCCAAAAAGTCGACTTTTTGGGTACCTCCCGATTTACCATCGGACGTCAGCTCTTGCATGAACCCCGTGACGCGTTGGGTTCTGCGGCCTGTGGGACCGCAGGGCGCTGCCCATGGTCTCGAGTACATTCAAGTGCGACAAGTGTCGGCGCCCGGACTTGTGCTGAATCGATCGGTTTCTCCCGGCGACCCAACCCACCACCAAAGCAGGTACTCAAAAAGTCGACTCAGCGCCCGGACTCGTGCTGAATCGATCGGTTTCTCCCGATGACCCAACCCATCATCACCAAAGCAGGTACGCAAAAAGTCGACTTTTTGGGTACCTCCCAGATTTACCATCGGACGTCATCGCTTGCATGAACCCCGTGATGCTGAACCCTTCTCCCCATAGAGGATATGATTGCCTAAGAGTTCAGACCCATCACCACCACAGCAGGTACCCAAAAAGTCGACTTTTTGGGTACCTCCCAGATTTACCATACGTGATCTCTTGCATGAACGCAGGTACCCAAAAAGTCGACTTTTTGGGTACCTGCTGTGGTGGTGATGGGTCTGAAAGGGTACCTCCCAGATTTACCATACGTGATCTCTTGCATGAACCCCGTGGTGATGATGATGCGTTCCTCACCGACGAGTCCGCGTCTATATCCTGCTGTCCAGGCACACTCTATCGTCGAGGACCCCTCGCAAGCCAAACTGCAAAGGTGGGTTTCACGATAGAGGACTGTCTCTGTTTTCTCACGATCATCCTGTCGTTGTCTAAGGGGCCCCGTGTGTGGCCGGGAACACCGGCATAATAGCCAATGGTTAACAATTTTTGGTGCAAATCTGGGAACCTAAGTCAAGAGGACACGCAAGAAAATTTTTGGAAAAGCACCCTCCCGAACAAACAAAGCCTAGAGCATTCCTAACATCTAGTCGAAAACGTAACAAAATCTAAGTGCGGCCAAGAGTATTCCTAGGAAAAATCAAATGCATTGGCCGGGAACTAGCAAAAGGTTACCAATTTTGAGGGGAAATCTGGGAACCTAAAAACAAGAGGAAGCGCGAGAAAATTCTTGGAAAAGCAGCCTACAGCATTCCTAGGAAAATGCCAGAAAAGCCTTTGAACATCTCATAAACCAACAGTAAACGTGACAAAATCTACGAAAAAGCAAGGGCATTGGCCGGGACCATGCCGCGACCAGCCCGGGATTCGAGCCCAGGACCATTTTGGACCGTGCTTATTTTCCCGCGCGGGTTGAGAGGGTGCCCCAAGATGTAAATCAATTGGGATGGCAGAATCTTGGACAATCCACGTCGCAATCAGCGAAATTTCCTGGAGAATTCCGGGCCGGATTTCGTCACTGCAACAAGGGTCCGGAGGGGTAGGGGAGGTAAGGTCTAGGTCTAAGGCTAAGGACTAGGTCTAAGGCTAAGGACTAAGGCTAAGGCTAAGGCTTAAGGCTAAGGCTAACATCGACAGTCACGCCTCACCCCACGGTGTGGGGTCGGCGGATTTGGCATTCATACTCACTCGTGGTGTTCGGACCAAGAACACACATCGAAAGGTTGCTCTTATGTGGACTTTGATGCGGGTTGTCCCCTTTGGGCTCAGTAAAAGCTGTTACGGGTGCGCGTCCCAACGTCATTCCATTCATTTTTCTGTCCCAGTTTGGGGAGACTCTCAATCATGGCCACACCAAGGTTGGCTGCATCCGTCTGCACGTGAAGCATCAGCGCGCAGACACCTACTGTGTCACATCGTCGCGGACCGAAGAAAGTGGCCAGACCAGGTCAGACCGCAGCAGAGGGACTGAGGTCTCAAGGTGTTGCAGGGGTTTCTTTTAAGTTCAACTGATATACGATATTGTATTAAGTTATATATATATAACACATATTGGAGACCAAGACGTGCAAAAGGACTCAGCACAGATGGATGGGAACACTATGAGCATGTGAGTACGGCTGGAGAGCAAGGCTAGGATTTCTACCATCAGTTCGGGACGACTTAGAGCATTGGACTCTGCAGGTCAAGCCTTTGGTCGTTCAATGGTGCAAGTCGTAAACGGATACTGGGCACGAGCAGCACCATTTTGATCATGTGGTCATGGTCACCTGGTCGGTCGCCCGGTTTGAGAAAAACCCGTAGTGGTCGAACGCGTTTGGGAACGCGGACCTGCGCGACTGGCAAGCAGGTGGTGCTGCAGCTTCTTGCTGGATCAAAGGATTGAAGTCTCCAGTGCCCACATGTGTCAACCGGGGGATGAGCCCCTGAGCCGACGGATGAGTGACCCGAATTCGGGGGCCAATCGTCGTAGGAAGATGCGAAGTTTCATTGGAGACAGACATCCTAGCTAGCGAGGAGAGAGCAGGAAATCCTAGCTAGGAAATCTACATCATCCAGTTTTTCGAAAATCAGAGAGCTTTTGAACACAGAACACCGGTGGCACCTTCACGTCCGGACGCGTCATGGACCAGGCCGCCGTCGCGTCGCGTCGGTCTGTGGGGCAGATGGGGTGTTTCGGCACCTGGGGTCGGTGAGCAAGGTGTGTGTGAGCAGCAGAGACGATGAGACCTGTTCCTGAAATTCTTGGATGTTCTAGTGGATGTTCTTGATTTTCTCAACAGATGCTTACTTAATTAGACCTTCTACCGCCACCAGTTCTTCTACCGGTCTAAAAAGCTACGGTTTGGGGGACACGCCACGCAGCACCTGTGTGTCGACCCCAAAGATCTTCCGTCGATCATCTCCGATTTCCCAGCCGTCTTCGCGTTTCAGTTTTCCGGTCCTGACTTCTGGTCAGTCGATGGGACCAGGAAACTTCGGCCTTTCTTAAAAACGTGCTGAAACACTTTTGTGATGGCACGTGCCTGAAGTCCTAATTGGAAGCCCACGATGTATCCAGGTTTTGCGACGGTGCGACATGTGCGTCATAACACCAACCGGACGGGTCACTACTTTCCAGACCGAACCTCAAGCCTGGTGACAGCAGGTGATTGTAGTGTGTCAGCTCGCTTGGGCGCTTTCCAAAGAGAGCCGCCCCCGCCATGCCGACGCCGCTGCCATGGATCTCTCCACAAGTCTTCGCTGCCCAGGTTCCGATCCTGCGTCAGATCTCCCTGCACGCACAGAATGATGTGTCTTTGGCCGTGCTGGAACACAACAAGGACGGAAAACTCTGTAGGACAATGAAGCACAACGGATTTTGGCTTTGCATGGCCACCTTGACTAGGCGGATCAACTCAGACATAGATTGCTTTGCCAATGCTAAGATCATTCGTTTCAGAACAGAATCCAATGTTGGAACGCGTGAGAATAATCTCGTTTTGGAATGCGCTGCATCCATAGGAAAAGGCCAAAGGTTTCATCATTTTTTGTCACTGTTTCTTTTCCTCATCGTCGAGGTATTTCAATGGTTTGGTTTGGTTTCTGAGTTGTCTCTGTGATCTGTCACTTGTTTACAAATTACACATTTATATAAAGATGTTTCTATTTATATTCATTTGTGTGTGTGTTTTCTTCTATGTCTGTTACTTTTTAAAGAAATCTTTTGGTGTTTTTTCTTGTCTCCTGTTTTGTTTCCTTGGCGGTTCTGTCTTTTTTGATTCCGTGTGATGTCCAATTGTTTGTATATATTATTGTTGTTTCTTCTCTCCTGTTTTTTTCCTTGGTGTTTTATCTTTTTGTGGTTTTACCTTTGACAGTGAGCCACCAGAGGGTAGAATTAGAGGAGAGAGGAGAGCCATTCCAACGCAGCATCCCTTGTGTTGGAAGAAAGGAGCCGGAGGGTCAAATTTAGAGATAACTGGATCCATTCCAACGTAGCATACTTTTTCGTGACGAAAAAGGGCCGACTTGAGCCTGTGTGTCTGTGTTCCAAGTTGAGTCTAATCGCCTGTTTCGAAATGAGTCTAATCGCACACTTTTGTGCTCCAAATTGAATTTAAGCCGCATCCCAGAACCAGCGACCGCTCCAGGAGAAGCCTGTGCAACTGTCATATGCCGAGCTGAAACGTGCGGTGCTAAGACCGGGTGAAGTGGTCAAGGGTGAACAAAGTACAACATGTAGAGTGCACATACCAGCAGCTTCCGCTGGTTGGGCCCAAAGCCACACTTGTACTGGGTCTCCAGGCAGGGCGCCCATTGGAAGCGTTACCAGCAAGGTAATGACAGGAATGATGTACGCCAGCATAGACCCCAGATAGCATTGGAATCATTGCATTCGTTACCTGAAGGGGCATCCGCTTATATCAGGGCACGATGAGAGACACTGTCAAATGGAGTCATCATCTTCAGGTTGCCACCAAGAAGGCATGTACTTAAGTGACAAGGTTGATCTGCCTTTTCACACACCTTGTGATAAATCGTGGCTAGTTCGCTCGCGTTTCGCAGCACTTCTGAAAACATCACATGGACAGAAACATATGCACCCAAGCTCCCAAGTGCACACAGCAGTGGCACGAAGCACTTGAAGTAAGAACCCCAATAGCTTACGCTATCTATCTGGGGAAAAACCAGAAACCTTAGATAATCCTATCTTCACAGCTGGCCGGTGCGTCAAGATGCCCACCATCCAAGTTCCTTCGTCCACCATGCAGGCGGTTCTTTTCGACAACGCTGGCCGTCTCCGAACCTTGCAGGTCTGACAGCTGTCCACTCTCCACTGACAGCTGAGGCTGTGTGGTGTTCTTGTCTGCCAGCCTCAAGAAGATCTTGGATGCCTCCGATGGACCAAGGCCCGGAAGGACACCCGCAAGCACTTATTTTTCTGGACTGGTCGAAGCAAAGAAAGGCCAAAAAGGAATATAGACGAAACTGAATAGGTTTAGTCCAAGAAGTCTTGGACTGCCCAAGCCGGATTTTGTGCATGGTAACATTAGGCAGCAGTTTGAGCATGGTTGCATTTTGGGAGTTGCAGTCCAAGAATGTCTGCGAGGTATCAGAAGTATTTGCTGAACTTGAGCTGATGCACTGGCTAGTATAGTCAAAAGAAGACTGGGGCCCCTCCAGAGGGAAGTCGCGAGTTCCCATCCCACCTTTCGGGTAAAAATGGTGACCCCCAGCAGCTAGAAGGTTGATGACACCTACAAGGATTATCAAATGTTATCAAGGCAAAAGTGGAGTATTCTTTCTTTGTTTGTTGATTTTTCATTATTTTTCAATCTTCTTTGACGGATGGTGAGCTTTTGTGAGCTTGCTCTGCCACTATAAACAGGTCTTTTCCACCGATCATGCCAGCCAGTTCAGCCGAGCCACTCCCAGGCACGTGGCCTTCTTCATCAACCCGTCAGCAGCGCCGGGAGCTTAGATGATGCCCAGCGCCAGCCCGGTGGTGCTTACTCGGATGGGAGCAAGGGAAGAAAACGCTGGTGGTTTCCCACTTGGGCGCCCAAAAGGAGGTCGAGATGAACATGAGACGAACCACGATCAGTTGAGGTACCATGTTGTTTTGGGTCCCAGCGATACACTTCGCAGTCTCCCGGCTCCCGACTCACCAGAGCTGGAGGTATGTCGTCACGGAGCTGTCGATTTGGGCTGCGGCCGGTGTGTGCGTGCGCCACGGACGGAGCCGCCTGGGCCACGTCATTCGTCCGGTCATGGGCGGAGCGGTTTGGGGGTTCTCAGGGGCGGAGTTCGGGATTCATCACCACATGCAAATGTCATAATAATTAGGTCATAGGGCAGAACAGAGCCACATTTGACGGACATGGCCGACATCTTCCGCATCCCACGACGGCCAGCGGCTCTCAGGGGCACCAGGAGACGGAAGCAACAGCTGAAAGAAGAACATCAGAGGCCCTGAGGCCCTGAGGCCCTGTGTTTGGGGATTGCAGGTGATTGCAGGTGATTTCAGGATGTAGATCGTGCTCACATTTTCAGGATGTAGACTCAATCTTCCAAATGAAGATGTTCCACCTCGGATGTTCCCTGGCCTTTAGTCGGTCCATGGAAACTTGTTCGCATGGCTCTCGGCCATCTGCCATGGGCCGCTCTTTAGGTGGAGGCACATACGAAGGGGGAGGAACAAGAGAGATGTGACGGACCTGAAAAAGGTCACCCTGAAAAAAGAAGGCCAGAGATACACATGTACATGAAGGTACTGGAACCAGTGATGGCAGGTTGCTTCAATGGAACTAGACGAAGCGGACATTTGGATTGCCTTCCATCTTTGTTCTGATTGATTAGGAATGCTTGGAATGTCTAGGTTGCCAATCAATACGAAAAATGCGAATGTAGCTTGAAGGAGATCATGGTCAGGGTAAACAGGAGTTTTCATTGATTTTAAGGCTGAAATTGCACGCAGCCTATTGGGTCCAAGGTCGAAGGAGGTGCAAAGACACCCGATTTTTTGTTTAAATCATCTGTGTTTGGTCGGACATGGCCACATCTTATGATATGATTCTTGATTCCCTGATTGGGTTGGGAGGAGAAGATGACCCTTTTTGCTATTGTTCCTCTGTCTTGTGCGCCATGGCGCAGCAGATCCTGGTGCCCGTGCTCCAGCGCACCTTAGCGGAGTATCTGGAGGTCACGGATCACACCGTGGATCTGCGCCGGGGTGAGATCGCGCTGGCGCAGGTGGCCCTTCGCAAGCAACATGTAGCAGATGGTCTGGAAATCTCTGGGCAGGTGAGGTATGGGTCAAGAAAATCTCAAGCAGTTGTCATTGTTTTTTTGCAGATGCCATGTCTTTTACCTAGCAGCTGCTTCTTTTGGCCCGAAGTGCCAGGTGGGTCGCATTTTTGCCCGGTGGTCCTGGTCGGGGCTGTTGACACGGCCGATCCAGATTGAGGTCATGGATTTGTCTCTGAGGCTTTCGTGCGTAGATGGGATCAGCGATTCAAAGGATGCTCCAGCTGCAGCTGCGTTGGATCAGCCATCGAACAATTTCTTGGAACGCATGAAACGGAAGGTCATGGATCAACTTCAAGTCACCGTCTCCAATGTGCATCTTCGTGTAGAAGGACGGACTCCGGTGTCACGAACCAGCATGACACCGGGCCAGCTGCCGGTGGCCGGACTGGTGCTGCAAAAGTTCAGTATTGAAACGGAAGATTCGACGTTGCAACAGACCGTGACTTTCGACCATGCCAGTCTTTACCTTGAGCATGTCACACCTACGATAGCTCCCTCATTCCAAACTCCCAATGATTCAGCCGCTTGGCTGACAAAGGAAGCGGTCTCCCCCCGCTGTGTGGCCCGCCGCCGAGCTGGGCGACGCTTCGTGGATTGGAAAGGCTTGGACTTGCAGTTCGAGCTCAACGACATGAAGCTCCAGTGGACACGACGGCAGCTTCTCATGTTACTGAGCTGAAATGATTCGGTGGTTTCAATTGTTTCACAAAGCCATGAACCTGGGGCTTCCTCAGGAGGCCAAAAGGTGGCTTCTCAGGTGGCTATCACCTACCCTAGTTCACATTCTCTCGATTCTCTTCCCACGAAACAGTTCCACCTTCAAGGACCGCAGGTTGTTTGGCTTCTCAGTCAGGCTGATGTCCCTTCTGGGAGACTTCTGTGGCTCGAGTCAAGAGGTTGTGGAGCGTGAGGGGCCAGCGGCTTCTGCCGGAGAGGACTTCTTTGAGTGCGAGGAAGAGCCAGCGCCAGCGGTGGAAAAGCCCAGTCGGCCAAGTTGGTCCAACTGGTTTCGTCGCATGGCTTGATGTTGAGGGCCCCTTCTTGGAATTTTCCGGGAAAAGGGACAGTTGCCTTGTTTTTTTACCACCCGCAAACTGAACCTGAGACTCGACCTGTGGAAGACCATTTTCTTCTTAGGTGGATTTGGGGGGTTCCTCGTGGTCGTTTGCAGGGGAGTAAATTAGCAAATAAATTGTGTTTAGATGTAAAAGTAATAATTAATGCATTACACTTTTTTACATGTATAATAGTCTTTTGTGTATGTATAATACGTAATATAAATGTGTATATGTAGTGACACATGATGACACTGAAGGAAGAATCTCATAGGTGACACTAGCTTCTCAGTTTTGATAGGCAGCCATCAGTTTTGATAGGCAGCAATGGATTTTTCACAGACAATACAATCAAAACCTTGCTTCTGCATCTCAAGCACCGTAAAAGATATATATGCATCATTACATCATTATACATCCTTCCTTGGCACTTTTGATGCCCGATCCCTGTCAGAGCGCTTGAGGGATGAGGGGAGCCCTGAACAATTTCCAATTCATCTGGATGATTGAAGTCAGGTGGACCTGTTGTTTCACCGTTTTGTTGTTTGACCGCAGTGGAGGCCCAGTTTGGGAACCAAAATCATTGCTGGCCTGGTCGGCGACCCCTGCACCCCGCTTCGTTTCGACGGCTGTGGGACGGAGCGGGTTCGTTGGTGAAGGGAAAGACAGGTAGGACGAAGCCCCAGTGAATCTAATGTGGCAACGAACGTTTTTTGATCCTTTTTTGGCGATGAACAGAACTGCCCAGAGGTTCCTGGCTGCACGAGGGGGCAGAGGTGGGCGAGGAGCTCCCAAGTAGCTTGGAAGAAAGCGAGGTGAAGATGCTCATGGAAGAGACAACCCTGAAGGATGCTGATGAGTTGACTATGTCTATCTTAATGACAGGTTTGGAGCCCTGGCAAGCTGCTTAAGGAATTGTTTTCTATCTTTGCTGGTTTGGAGCACCATGCATTGGTTCTCGGGTTCTCGCATTATCTTCCCGATGCAAGGAGATGCATGCGATCGAGAGTTGCTTAAAATGTTGGCTGGGAGGAAGAATGAACCTGAAGGTCCAGGACATGGTCTCGTCGTGAGTCGTGTTCCGTCGGTAACTCCGTTGTGTTTCTTCTACTCATGTTGCACGAACGTTGGTTGTTGGACGAAGGCGGGTACTTGGTGTTCAAGTTTTCGTCATGCAACCCGCGTTCCTTCTTTGCATGTACAATCCATTTTCCGGTCCCGTTGAGGAGCTTGATTCTTGGGACCTCAATCTGGACGTTACTGAGTGTGCGCTACTTGAGACGGGCGCTGCAGTTCCGGGCGCCGAGCAGGTCCATGTGGGCCATGCGATTGCAGGGCCACAGTCGTCAGAGCCGATCGTGATCAAAGCACAAAGAGGTGCCAATCGTGAGAGTTTGACGGACAAGACCGGGTGAAGAATCCATAGGCATGACGAAGTTCTGTTTGTTGAACTGTTCCAGGGTTGATCTGTGAAGGTGCTGAGAATCTCTTGAACCTGAGCAGCCCTACCATGGATCTCCATCTCACTCCCAAGCTCTGCCGTAGCCTGGTTTGGCTGTCCACTGCGATGACCAATGCCCTGCCGGAGTCCGAGTGTGGAGGTTCCACTGACTGGCAGGTCACTTGGAAGTTGCCCTTGGCGCTTCATGTGGGCCAACCCTGGCAGCTTCGCAGTTTGGTGACTCGGTTGGTTTGAGTCCGCGGTCCACGGTCGATCTTGTTTGGATTCTTCAGTTTAAGTGGCGACTTTCCAATTTGGTGATTATTATTTTTTTTTTCGAAGCTGCTTGGCCACCCCCACTGGTGGACAGCATCATGAGGTGTCCAACTGCTGTATGTCAGGGTCTTACCAGAAGGACTTCTGCTCCGGAGAGGTGTTGATGACCATCAACCTAGACGGGCGGGAGATTTTGGAGCCCTTCCACTTGGAGTTCCAACGCTCGATGGCATCCACGTCTAGCCCATGGCGGGTGGCAGCTCAACAGCTGACGGGCACTTGCGAGGTGTCGGAGCTCGTGTCGGTGGTGCGGATGGTGAAGAGCATCATGAATGAAGTGTGCCACACGTCGACTTCGATCCCCACTGAGAACCTTCCGAACCCTCCAGAGCTAGCTGAAGTGGCTGAAGTCCAGGTGGCTTTACCTCACAACTCGTCTCCCGATCTTCTAATTTTTAGCCTGGGCGAAGTCGCATGGCGCCTCAACGACCCTTTGCTGAAAGCCTCCTTCGTGCTCAAAGCCGATGCCCTGGGGCTGCAACTGGGCACGAAGATGACCCAGGCCTCACTGGAAATGGCGGCCATACAGATGCACCTTGCAGAGGTGGGGCAACCGGGCAAAAGCTTCAACTAAAGAGTCTGCTTGGTCTACCCCTTTCCTCTTCCCAAACAGCTCCAAGTTGGGAGGGCTCCCATGGGCTCCCTATAGAGACCTGCCCCAACTGTAGCGTCCAAAGCCCGGTCCGGCTGGTGAGCCGGTCCCGTCCTACGGATCGCATGACGAGGTATTCATCAGATAAGAGTGAGCCACTTCAAAACAACAATTCCCTCACTGACGGCGGGGTTCCACAGGGAAGAGGGAGATGGGCCCTTCTTGGATCTGGGGGATAACCACCATGCATTCTCCAGAACCAACACTTCATTTCGCCGGTTCCTGTGGGACGATCTTTTTGAGAAGGTGAACTGTGGCTGTGTGGAGCTAGCGAAGCCCTGGCTCCAGTGCGAGTTGGAGGGTGCTCGAAGCTCTCTGCACGTGCAGGGGCAACTGCGCGTGGAGGACTGCGGGCGGAACCTGCACAGGGCGTCTCAAAACTCGTCGATATGCTTTCCAAGAACAAGAACAAACGGACCTGTCTTATAGATCTCATAGAATACAGACAAATCTTCCAAGGACCAAGTTTTCAGCCATGATCTTAAGACGAAGCTACGATATATATAAAATGATCCAGCAAGACCTGGCAACAGACCCAAACACTGAATCAGTAGATGGGGATCGACGTGCCAGAACAAATACGCGACATGCACACATTGCGTTGAGTGACGCGGACTGACTTTCATAAACTCATACCTCAGACCTCAAGAAGGATTTGGCAACTGAAGCGGAAGTGTATTAGACATTGGACCTTGGAGTCTCACTTAATACGCTATAAATAGCAATAAGTTTTCAGGCACAAGGTCTGTACAAGGGCCAGTTAGAAGGCCCTTTTCTTCTCACTTTCAGGACCCATCAGCCGAAGATGCAGCAATCAGCTGTCAGCCCTTCCGCTGTGACATCTCCAAATATGCCGACGTGAGCCCTACACGCATTGAGGTGTCCGTGCGCTGTGCGGGCGTTCGTGTGAACAGCACGGAGTCCTATTTGCTCCGCTGCAAGTTGGCGGTGGACTTTTGGGTGGACTTGACATCTGCGCTCTTCATCGATCCTTTCTTGCTGGAGGAAAGGCCCTTTGGATTCAGGCCTGCAGGGTCTGGGCATTGCAGGGATCAGATCCGTGAGTTCTGAACAACTCTGCGTGATGACCAGCACTCAATGATCCCAGCACCGTGATACCGGTTTGATGTTGCTTTCAGTGGGAGGGACAAGGGTTTGGGGAAGTGTAACTTTTGCTCGAGCCTCACAACACAGCAAAGCAGACCCCAGCGAGCCATAAAACCACAGTGTAAGTCTCCAAAGACCCCTACAACTCTACAACAGCCCTAAAGCAGAACAGGCCAGCTGCTTCATGCTGCTTCCAAGGGGTCACCCAAATTCACAACCTCGCACATCCTCACACTATAGTAATAGTAGGCCTTCTTCCTAGCACTCGAGTTTTTGGCACGGGAGCATCTGTGGTCCGAAAAGCGGGAGATGTGTTGTGGAAACCTCTCAGGATCCAGGATGGGTGTATCGCAGAGGAATCCTCGTACCGCGATGGATTGCTCGACGGCTGCTTGGTGGTCGGCTTGGAGCCGCCAGCGGAGGATCTGCCCAGGGACCTTTTGGAGCGCTCGACGCCCGTGGTTTTGCTGGTGGAGCGAACACCCGAGAAGTACGACTTCAAGGTGGACTCCTTAGAAGCCTTAGGGTTGGATTTTTTTCCCCAAACACTGTGAACACACTTAGGGGTTCTTACGGTAGGAGTAAAGCAGCTGATGCTTACAGTAGATCGCTGAAGCGCGCGGGCGTGACCGGCTAATTCGCTGCTATTTACAGTACATTCATGTCTCTCGAAATCCTCGAAGCGCATTTCGACTGCGCAGGCTCGCGAAATCTGCGTGGGCGCGGCGGGTGCTTCTAGCGACTGCGCTCTCGTTGTGGTGCCGTGCGCATTTTCGCACACGGTGGTCACTATTCGTGGCAGGTGCTAGGGAAACCTCGTGTTTTGGTGCTGATTTACCAGAGCTGTTTTACATCGAAATGCGGCTTTCTTGGCAGGTGCAGCACTTTGGACATGGTGGTGATCGTCGAGGAGCTCAGATTTCGTGACGGGTGCAGTGAATCGCGACTTTTGGACATGTGGCTCGTTTGCAGATTTTGTGGCAGGCGCAGCACTTGGTGATGAACCACGAAGTGCAGATTCCGTGGCAGGGGCAGGCACAGCACTTGGTGAACCTCGTTTCGGCGCAGGCACAGCACTGTGTGAACCTCGAAGTGCAGATTTCGTGGCAGGTACAGCACTTTGTGAACCTTGAAGGGCAGATTTCCTGGCAGGCGCAGCACTTGGTGAACCTCGACGTGCAGATTTTCGTGGCAGGCGCAGCACTTGGTGAACCTCGAAGTGCGGATTTCGTGGCAGGCGCAGTACTTTGTGAACCTCGACGTGCAGATTTCGGCGCAGCGCAGTCAGATGCTCACTCTCACTCTCTCACTCTCACCTCACTCTCACCTCACTCTCACCCTCACTCTCACTCACTCACCCACCCACTCACACTCACTCTCACTCTCACTCACTCTCCCACTCACCCACACTCACATCTCACCCACGCTGTCATTCACACACTCACTCACTCACTCACTCACTCACTCACTCACTCTCTCTCTCTCACTCACCCTCTCACTCACCCTCGCACTCACCCACGCACTCACTCACGCACTCACTCACGCACTCACTCACTCACTCACTCACTCACTC